ATTTTGGCCGGGTGTGGTGTCTCATGCCAGTGATCCCAGCACTCTGGGAAGCCAAGGCAGGAAGAGCATTTGAGCCCAGGAGTTGGAGACTACAGTAAGCTATGATGGCGCCACTATACTTCAGCCTAGGTGACACAGTGAAACCCTGCCTGGAAAAAAAAGAAAATTTCCAGATTTTAATGATGACATGGTGTTTTGATAGGAGCATTTTCTTGCTTTTGATACAATAAGTATCAGGCTGAAATGGGCATCATGTCACTAATTTACTTTTAAATTGATCCAAGAGAAAAAAAAGACCTTTGTAGAATTCTCGCAAATCTGCAAGTATAACATAATTTCAAAATAGAAAAAAATATTGTGATTAATATTTTTTTAAAAAATAAGCCCAGAAACTACAGTTTGAATTGTGTAGCCCTGGTGACAGTGTTAGCACCATGGATGGACAAGATTGATTATGCTGATTTGATTATGCCTGGTTTTAATAAATAACCAAAGAAACCCGAAAAATGATTTATGTAATTTAAAAGACCATGCTATGGAATTTGAAGGTCCACTTAGCTGCAACTCGTTCCTCGTTCAGAGATATCTATTACTGACACAGACTACTTTCTAAATCTCCTCCTATAGATAACACAGTCTATGTAGTTCACATCAATGGTTCCCTACACAATATCCCTTCTTCTCTTCTGACACAATTCCACTGTGGTCCGGGCATCTATGCTTTCCACAATTACCGATATTTTTTAAAGTAAATTGACGGACTCTAGCACCAGAGTGGCTCTCACTTATCTGAGAGTAATCCCGTTCATCATACTAGAGAGACTGGTTCAGCTAATCCAATTGCTCTTAATACTCTCCTAGCCTCAAATTTTAATTTAAGAATTAGTTTGTAACTTATTCTGAGCCAGTGAGTCATAAAGGAGGGTTTTTCTGGTAAGAAACTTCTTCATTTTCAAAAGCAAAATAGGCTCCCTCTCATCTTCCACATGTCCCATTATACAGAACCTAGAACCTCTGATGGCATTTTGCCAGAGGCAGCCTAAGGCAAATCAGTCTAAGGAAAAGGACATCACACTAAAAGCAACAATGCCAAAGAAAGTTCAAAGAAAAGAAGCTATGCTCACCCAGTTAAGCCAGCTCTGAAATCCATCCTGCCTTTCTACTACACTTTGTCAGCCAATTAAAATCAGTGGGATTGAACGACATTGTTATTTGATTCCAAAACTATGCTAACTGATACAATCTATCACTTTAGGTTTGAAAAGGCGGCACACACAGGCCAATCTTTCCAGGTAATTTCTCATTTTGTCCTCCTTCTAAAGCCTAATATGGGAATAGGGGGTAGAAGAAGATAAATAAAGGCAAGGAAAAGATGGCAAATTAGTTGGATAGAAATCTGGAGAGGGGTATTTGCATATGCCTTTAGAACAAGATTCCTGCCAGTAGAGGTGTGAAAAAAAATCTTTAATTTAGAAAAAAGAACAAGAAAATGCATTTTATTTTTTAACACACACACATATCGCACTTTGTGTCTGGCACTATTTAAACAGTTAATGTAACCATTAACTGATTTGATTCTTGTAACAAGTTTATGAGACATTATTATTACTATATCCTCATTTCTAATGAAGAAACTGAGGCAAATTGAGGTTAAGTAATTGGCCTAAGGGCACAGAGCTGGCAAGTGGCAGAGCCAGGATTGAAATCACTGTTATATTATTTAATAATACCAGACAGATAAGGGGATCATCTTAATGAGGACATCTTAATACTATCTATAAATCCTAAGGTATGGCATGCAATTGTTCATGTGGAAACCTAAGCTTGCGTCAGATAAACTAGGTATTTCTCAAATATTCAAAAAAATAAATGAAACTATTAGTCATTTATCTTAAAAAACATCATTGCTGTGTTTCTGTGTTTATCTAAAACCAACATGTCAGCAGACAGTAGTACAAACTCAGTAATTATGAAGTACACAATATTATAGCAGAAAAACCTGTTGAAAATAGAAAAAGAAAATTTTCTCTTGATATAGTGGTAAATTTGAGCTATCGTTTTATCAGTCAGGAACTAGTACAAGGCATAATTTTCTTTGTTGCTCACTACACTTTGTAGCTTTGCTCATTCAAGTCTGCCCAATTGACACCTAAACTTCATGTCTCCTGACTTATACCTGCTTAGCATATAGTTCCTATAGGCAGTTGGTCTAAGGAACCTTCTGTAGACTTGAAAGGGAAGGAAAAGAAGGAGGTATACTTCCCAGCTAATGCAAAAGAAAGACCTGTGTTTCCCAGTAGTTTGTATTTGACTTAGGGAGACTGCCTGCTTCTTTGAACAAATCTTCCTTCAATTTTTCCTTTTCAAAGCAGTCCATTAGGTTTAAAGTGGTTTTAGTGAGGAAGAAGGCTAAAGATAGAACAAAGAAAAGATGAGTAAGAAGGAAATTCTCTTCATCCTCTCATGACTGAAGTACTTAATGATGCCTTTAAATATTTAAATGCTGCAATGTCTAAATTTTAAAAAGACAAACATAAATTTGACCATGCAGTAATGTTAACAGTGTAATTTAAAATATTTCTGCTTGCCTCAAAGAAGCTGAACAAACACAAATCATCAGTAAAACTTCCCTGGACAGTTTTTAAGCTGTCTGGCTCATTCCTATCAGTGCCCATAGTTTGTCTGAATTATTGTAGGTAGTGTCTTCATTTTAGCTATGTCTGTCTAACATATGCCACTTTCGCTTTTTTAAGTTCTTTCCATTTCTGAATGGTAGAAAACATGCCTTTGCATTATATTGCCCATCGTTCAGAAAATATAACAGCTATTAGATAAATATGTTTTAGTAAATAAATGAAAATTAGAATAACTAACTAGGCTCCTAACAAATACAGAGAAAATATTTTTCTAATTCTATAGTACTAATAATTTTTTTATTAAGTCTATACTGAAGATTTATCATTTTATCTTGGCTTTTGTAATATGTTGCTGTGATAACCATAACTTATTTGGTGGTGAGTAACTGAACAGGAATGCGATCACCAATATAGGTTTCTGTGAAAAAATGCAATGTGTTTATAATGCATTTTCCAGAAATGAATTGGAAAAAGTGAGGATTATTTTGTGATTTTCTGTCTTACAAATTCATATGCCCACTAAACTAGATTTAACTCTCTTGGTATAATTAGTTTTGATTTCAGAGTTTACACATTTTCTGATAAAAATATAATTTAGATTGTGGCTAAGGTCATTAATATTTTTTAAGTAAGTCTGGTGGCTATGAAATGTAAGTAGGTAAAATTTGCATCACAGCCAATCATATTTGGCTCTGTTTTCTCTCAGTTTATCTTCCACATCAGAAAATAAAGCAAAAAAAAAAAAAAAATCCAAAAACCTCAGGAATGCTTACCAAGCATCTGAAGTTAGTTTTCAAATGTTATTCAAACAAATTGGGGTAAAGAATAATACAGATATAAGGAAATTCTACAAACAAATTTTATTTTAAAATTTATTGCATGACTTAAATGTATACAGGTATGTCTGCATGGACTTCTGTGATACACATGTGCAGTAAATAACATAAATTTGATGTACACGAGACTTTAAAGTAAACAAATTTCTGACACATATGATTAATGCAATGGTGATTTTAGGCTTTGAATAGGCTGTCCTGTTGGAATTATAAGAAAAGTTTAGATAATGTCATCTCTGAAATGGAATCAATTATGCCTTTTTTAAATCAGTATGAGTGATCTGGAAAAGTAACACCCTGAAATAACATTTGTAATTGTTATGCTGGTAAATCTGGATAACATACTAAAATCCTTTCAGGAGAACAAAATAATAAATATGGCTAATACAAAATAAATGATCATCTGCATGACTTCTTTTAAAAAACTAAGTCCAAAGGGCAAAATCCATTTGTCTCCAGTTCATCCTTTCAAAAGAAAGAGTTCCCAGGTTTAACAGTTAATTTCACGTGTCAAATAGACTGGGCCACAGGGTGCCCAGATATTTGGTCAGACACTGTGGTACGTTTGTGAGGGAATTTTTTGAATCATATTAACATTTAAATCAGTTGACTGAATAAAGCAGATTTCCCTCCCTTGTGTGAGTGGGCTCATCCCATCACTTGAAGGCCTGAATAAAGCAAAAAGGCTGACCCTTCTTCAAGGGAGAGGGAATTCCTCCTACCTGTCAGCCTTTGAACTGGAACATACGCTTTTTCCTGTCTTTTGACAGAAACCAAAACATCACATCTTCCTGTGTCTTAAGCCTGCCAGCCTGCAGACTGGAATGACATGATAGGCTCTCCTAGGTTACCTATCAGCTTGCTGACTCATCCTGAAGATCTTGGAAGGTGTCAGTCTTAATATCATGCCAGCGGAACCCTCATAATAAACAAACACATAAATATCTCTTACTGGTTCTGTTTCTCTGGAAAACTCTAATTAACATGCAAGACAATCCACAGTGTTAGTTTGCTGGCCTGCTTACTGCATGTATACCTGTTTTATAGATGGACCTAGGATACTATCTTATCCTGAAGGCATTATCCTTTAGGAACATCTAACTCTTTTTTAATCTTTGAAGAGCTTTATTAACTTTCTAATACTAATTTGGTTTCATGGGGATTTTTTGTCACTGGTAGAAGAATATTTAGACTGCTAAATATGTACTTGCCAGAAATTTTCTATCTAGAGATTTCATTTTTAACCAAGTAATTTGCAAGATTAATACATCCATTTCTTTAGGATACATTTGTTTCTCAAAGCCTGATTATTCCCTATAGATGACAGTAGAAAGGTCCTCAGTGCAAAGGCTGAAAAGCACACTTAGATTCCAGGTATGCTCACATGGAGAACCTGCTCCACATGTTCTCTCTGAAACACAGAACTTCAATCAATCCACCTTCCTCCTTCCTCCTTCTCCCCTACCCCTCATCTTTCACTTCATCTCACCTCATTGGCAATAGTACTACATTTCAGAACGTTCCACATTATACATTTTAATCTCAATTTCTGATTCTAGTTCATTATTACTGGCTGTGTCACCCACTATGTTTAGCATAAACAGGTACCGGTCATTTGATAGAAATGATCAATTAGCTATATCTGCCATGAATGAGGAAGAAAGCCGTGGCTACAAAAGTCAAGCATTTTCTACCTCTTCTCCAGATTTTTAAGCTGATAACCTTTTAAAATATACATGAAGAGCAATATTGCAGGATAATGTACTGATAATAATTTCTGTATTATTCTCACTACTATGTGAGACTCTCAGAAGAAATGGAAATATAATTGCATTGCAGTTACCCAGACCCTTAGAAATAGGAATGTCCAGCATTGTACTCATTTCCGTTATTTTAAGGGCTTGTTAACAGCTTTGGGTTTTCAGAGGCAGGAACAAAGACTGTCTGGTAGCAAAGGGACAACTCTCTTTTGGGCTTTTTCTTGAGAATCAAAGTAACTTTCAGTAATTAGTCCAGGTAGCCCCAGAGGGAGGAGGGGCTAGAAACTGTGCTTGCAGTCATTTTGGAGAAGAAAGGGTAGCTTCTGGGAGACTAGTGAAGGGACAGAAGGACTTTCTAGTACTCTTACCTGGTGCACATTCACAGACTTTTCTCCCAATGCCAGAGACTAGAGAAGATCAAGCTTTTGGACCTCCTGGGAATCTCGCCTCAAAGTCCTGAGACCTAAAATATACGGAAGAGGGTCTGTGTGACAGAGCCTGTGGTCAGTAAAGAGAAATACTGTAAAAGTATCTGAGTCATTCTGGAGCAGCAGTACCTGAATAATGGTAGAGAAGCAACTCTTCACAGCAGCATCACTTGATAAGAGGAACAATAGTAACGGCAAACAACACAATGGACCAAAGACTAGGGTCTTCTTCCATTTTCCATGAGCTTGAATGTTTGCGAAGCCCTAAGATAAGTAATCATCTAGTCCCCTCTCCCCCTTAGAGAAATGATTAGGATAAAGTAGAGAGCTAAAATTCACATTCAAGTTGAAAAAAAATTCTCTATGGTCCCCTAAATATTGCATAGTAAAATTATACCTAACACCAAAAATTAAAACTAAAATAATACAAAATTCATTTAACATACATACAAATTCAGTAGCATCACTAGAAGTTTCATGAAGCTGGAAGCAGGGGTCAGAGGATCTCTTGGGAAAATGAAAGGGATAAAGAATGAGGATCAGGGCACTGTTAAACCACCTGTCCAAGATCACGTAGCTAGTATGAGAAAGCTGGAATACTAACATGGATCTTCTGATTCCTGTAGGACTAAAAGACACAAGGTGACTGAGTATTTAGAAGCATGACTTAAGTTGTAGTGCTTGAAACTATGTAGAGAACCAAGGATCAGGTATCTAAAGGTGCTTTCTGAGGCCCCCATGGATGTGAGGGAGTGAACAGAGTGTCATCAGGAACAGGGTGAAACACCGTAACACCCAGATGTGTGAAGGGCAAAGCATTGGAGCAGATCGAGAAACTGTACAAGAAATGTGGAGTCAAGCAAATCTACATTCTTCTCACTTCTGCAGGAAAAGTTGCTAAGCTTTCTGAGCTTAGAAAATGCATGTAATGTGCCCAGGTCGTGGTAGGTATTACACTAACATACTTTGAATAGTGAACCATGCAGTGAGCATGATAAAGAAACAGGGAAAATATCTGCCACAACAAAACATCACAGAGCAAAACATCACAGAAAGCTTCCTGAAGAAAGAGATTCAATAAATAAATAATCTATTGGTGCGTGTTTTTTACAGCTTTGCTTTGTGGCTTGTTTTGGAAGCAGATGCTTGTAAACTTTTATTTATAGTCCTTTTATATTAACATATATATATTTTGTTATATATTGCAATATTTACTGAAATTCTGTTGATTTTCAAATTTCTGTGAGAATGTGATTCCTACGAACTCTAGTTGTGTCATGCCTATTAAAATTCAGGAACATAATCCTGAAACGTGGCAGGAAATTAACATGTACCAAATTGTATTGTTCCCCCAGTCTTTGACCAGACTTCCTTTAATATATATGTATTATATTTAAATTTATGTACATAATATATAAATTTGCTTTCCATATATGCGGTCAATATTTTTGCTTTTAAAAAAGGAAAGGAAAAAGCAAAGGAAAGAGGGCTTTGAGTATTTTTTCTTCTTCATGGCACCCAAACAATCCTAATTGTGCTCAGACTGCTCCTAAATCTCTTCAATGAGAGAATCATTTCTTTTAAAATCTTAAATGTTTTTAGCAAATATTTAGTATGCTGTTACATATACAAAAGATTTATAATTGTGCTCATATATAGTATTTATTTTTATTAATTCAGAAAAATATATACCACAAGATGAGTCAATAATGGATACACACGTATATATAGAGAGAGACACACATCTTATAATCTGTATCAACCAATAATTTCCATAACTCATACAGAAACATATTACATATTAATACTATAACATAACTGAGAAACCAGGAGCTTTGTTTTTGTTTTTTTGTTTTTGAGACAGGGTATCTTGCTCTACAAACCATGGAGTACAATGGCGCCATCTTGACTCACTGCAACCTCCACCACCTGGGATCAAGCGATTCTCCCACCTCAGCCTCCCGTGTAGCTGGGACCACAGATGTGAGCCACTACAGCGGGCTAATTTTTTTTGTTTTGTTTTGTAGAGATGGCATTTAGCCATGTTGCCCAGGCTGGTCTTGAACTCCTGGATTCGGGCTATCCTCCTGCCTCAACCTCCCAATTACTGGGATTACAGGCATGAGCCACCATGTGCAGTCACAAGGAGGTTTCTGTTTGAATATATTTTTTTCTATCTGACTAGTTTTAGTCACATTATGAAAAATAGATTAGGATTTTGCTGAACAGTCAACGTGTTAATTACTCTCTTAACAAGTTCTAAATGTGTCATTATTATCTAAATAATGAATAAGTGTGGGTGTGATTTCAATATGGAATAACCTGCCCTTGGCTTTTATTACTTGAGAGATGTAATATCACTTCAATTGCTTTCGATCAGATGTGACATCTTCTGTACATTGATAGATGTATTATTGATATTCCTGGTCTTGATGTGACAAAGTATCTCTCTTATCTTTGATTAAAATGAATTGTCACATTGCAACAGCTACTCTCCCAGTTGTCAGTTGCATAGCTGGCTTGCCACTCACTCACCACAACACTTCGGTTTTAGAAAGCATGTTCAGTGAATACACTCGTGTTTCTATACATGTAACTCAGCTTCCTTTCTCCTGAGATACCAGGCATACAAACTTGTACCTACTGCTGTGCCAGTCTATTGCTTTTGCCTGCCTGATTTCTTTTCCATGTGTGGTCACCGTAGCCCAACTTTCCTTTGAAGAATCTCCCCTCATCCATTCTCAGTCCCTGTGATATGGGTGGTGCTGATCTTAGCTGTCCTTCAAGCACCCCATCTCTAACAATAAGCATGTGAATACACCTGACCAGTGAGTTGTCCATGACCCAGCTGCAGTGAATGGTTCAGGGTTAGGAACATAACCCAGTTGAGTGAATCAGAATCATCCCTTAGACTTTGTTGGTCTGAAAAAAAAATAAATAAATAAAAATGTAAGTTAGACTACAAGTTGGATGCAAATCCTGCTGACATGTTTTGATTCTTTGGATTCAGCTGTGCCTAAATCTGAAAATCCACTCTTGGATCTTTCAATTATGTAAGCTATTCAATTCCCTTTCTTTTTAAAAAAATAAAATAAATTGAGAGGGATTTTCATTCACTTGCAAAAAACCCTTGATTAATATGCCCATGATCTGATTTTTTCCCATTCAGATTATGTATTAGTCAAAATAGGATAAACTCTGGTGAAATAAATAAAACTAGAAATTCGTCTACACAGTATAAATTACGTTAAAATAAATAAATTTTAAGGCCGGGCATGGTGGCTCACACCTGTAATCCCAGCACTTTGGGAGGCCAAGGCATGCGGATCACTTGAGGCCAGGAGTTCAAGACTAGCCTGGACAGCATGGGGAAACCCCATCTCTACTAAAAATAAAAAATTAGCCAATCATGGTGGCACGTGCCTGTAATTCCAGCTATTCAGGAGGCTGAAGCAGGAGAATCACTTGAACCCAGGAGGTGGAGGTTGCAAGGAGCCAGGATCAAGCCACTGCACTCCAGCCTAAGTGATAAAGCAAGACTCCATATCAAAAAAAGAAAAAATGACACAGTCACCACAGCTCACAGCCCATTGTCCAATCTGGTCATTTGGCATCAAACTAACTGCAAAGAAGGTTGGGAAAATGCAGGGAAACACGTCCGTACTCACTGGGCAGCAGCAGCAATCTGTATTGGTCTGGAGTTTCCAGAGAAAAAGAACCAAGTCTTATACACACACACACATACACACACACACACACACACACGTATTTATTTTAAGGAATTGACTGACATGACTGTGGTGGCTGGTAAATCTGAAGTCCACAGACCAGCAAGCTGGAAACGCAGGCATGAGTTGATATGCAATCTTGAAACGGAAAACCTTCTTCTTTGGAAAACCTTAGTTTTCACTCTTAAGGCCTCAACTGATTAAATGAGACCAACTCAAATTTCTTAAAGTCAACAGTTGTAGATATTAAGCACATCTACAAAATACCTTCAGAGCAATACCTAGATTCATGTTTGCTTTCATAACCGTAAACTATAGCCTAGCCAAATAGACACATCAAATTAACCATCAAACTCTCTCTGCCCCAAATGAAATGCCCTTCTTTTCTACTTTTTTCTTTTAATATTGCTGTAGATATAAGTATTTCTGCTATATGGTGGGAGATTATAGTCATGTCCTATTGCTGCATGTATTCAATGTGTCTCCTCTCAAGCCTAAAGCTAAATATTTTAACATTATAAAATTATTTCTCTGCTCATTAGGATGCCAATTTATTTCTGAAATGTTAGAAACTTTCAATGCTGTTTTCCATGGCTTCCATTTATGTATTCATTAATTCATTCAATAATATTTTTCAGTACCTACTGTAAGCTAAGTACACAAAAGGTCATCTTTTCATGTCATAAATTTGCATCATTCTATTAATAGAGAATAATAACTGGTAATGATTTATTGTTTTGTGACAAATTATCCTAAAACTTAGAGGCAAAAAACAAGAACAACGTATTTCTTATGGTTTCTGCAGGTCAGAAATTTCAGAGCATTTTCATTGGATGGTTGGTTCTCTTTCAGGATCTTTCATTTGAGTTGTAGGCAGACATTGGCTGGTGCTACAGTCATTAGAAGTTTTGACTAGGACTGCAGGTCTACTTTCAAGGGGGCTCACTCAATTGTCTACAAGTTGGTGCTGGCTATTAGCAGGGCTTTAGTTGCTCTCCATGTGAACATCCTCACAGGGCTGCCTATGTATGTCATGAAAGCTAGCTTTGTCTAGAACAAGAGATCCAACAGTCCAAGGAAAAAGCTTCAATGACTTCAAAAGCTTTTATGAGCTGTATTTGGAAGTCATACACAGTTACTTCTACTGCCTTCTATTGGTCACACAGACCAGCTCTGAATCAATATGGAAGAAGATTATGTAGGGACATGCATCCCAGCTGAGGGTCACCAGAGCCATCTCAGAGGCCGATTACAGTAGTTTATGTTAATCCGTTACTAGAAATACCTTTTATTTAGAAATCCAGCTG